TCAGCAACAGCAGCAGCCGCAGCAGCAACCTGAGCCCCAGGGCCCAACTCAGGGGGAGAGCAGTGCCATGAAAAGCTTACTAAAGTACAGCAACCAGCAACAGCCACTGCTTCTCTCCCAGAAGAGCCCCTTTGGGGGGCTGGGAAGCCTCAAATCAGGTCCTGCTGGGGGGAGCTGTGCCCTGCAGGGCAACAAACAGACTCTACCTTCCAGAAAGGGCCCAGCCAATGACAACGAGCGCCCTGATTACAGTGGAAGAGGCCGAGATATGGGGGACACAGGTCACGGGGAAAGTGAGGTGCGGCAGCCGCCAGTGGGAATTGCAGTGGCTGTGGCCAGACAAAGGGAGCCACCATGTCGTTCAGCAGACACTCATCCCAACAGCCGGCAGGGCAGGGTCCATCCCTCAGTAAAAGGTAAGCAGGCTAGGTCACTGCCTCATAAACAGAGATGCGGGGAACAGAGACCAGTTTTTTTCTTATCTGTGACCTGTCGATGACCTGTAGCTGTGAAAGTAAAAAAAGAAAAGAAAACAAAACTGGAAAAAACAAGTTCTAGACTTTTAAAGCCTGAAAATATCAGTGGCACAGCATTGTCTGTGCCATGAGACAAACCGTCGGTTTTCACTTTCATTAATTCTGGTTGAAATGGCATTAAAAAGTATGATACAAATCTGTATAGTGGGGCAAACTAATAAGCACTGTGACTACTGTGTTTTGAGAAATTGTGAGTGACTCTGGAACACGTCTTCACCTGGTGAAAGCTAATGGTTAAGCTGATGTTTGTTTATTTCATTGTTTGTTTGCTAATGTTGCCATGTTTGTCTCGCAGGACCGCCCCGCTCCATGTATCCTTCAGATCCGACCACTGAAGAGGAGAGGAAGAGGATGAGTGGGGAGCAGATTGGTTTGACTTGCTTGGACAGAGAGAGAGATGCATATATCAGGTAAGCAATTGTAAAGCCATTGCTTAATATTAGGGCTGTAACAGTACACACAAGTTAAGGTTTGGTTCATACCTTGGTTTAGGAGTGACAGGTTGGTACAGCGAATCCTCTGGCTGGGGACTGAGGTAACATTTAGCCTACTGACAAATTCAGTAAAAGATTTTAATTAACATGTCAAACACTTGTGTATTACACTATAGGAATACTTTCCAAAAGTGCAATTGGTCTCAGTGTACTCTAAACTGAAGAGCATCTCTTCCGCTATGAAATGAATATACCAAAATTCATAGTAGGCTATAATGAAAAATAAAACGTGCATTAGGAAAAGTGTTGCAGTTAGTTCCACCATAGCTATATTTGGTGGGCGGTGGTGGGCTCGATGTGAGACTTTTTTTTTTTTATTATAATGTGGGAGAACCATATTAAACAAAACATTAATTATAGTATTTTACATACTTAAAACATGTCTGGAGGGGAACTTGAAACATACAAAGCACCCAAACATTTACCATTCCAGTGATTGGCACACCTGGGTGATGTAGTTGAACGTGCATTAGCACATAAAGCAATGCTGACACACTGTCTTTGTCTTTTAATGTTAAACAACTCTCTTGGTTGCTGTTGTTACTGACCGGGAACCTGCAGGCGGGTCTTCCAGTGCTGATGATTTTTTTGCACTTAAGCGCGACTGACTTGCACACCAATCCCCTTGTGCTAACTTCAGCATATGTTGCTAACAGCATACAGCTAAAAGTTTTGGGCAGAACTTGCACTTGGGAACTCTGGCTCCTCATTACATGCATCACGCTACATACTGTGTATTCTGCATGTGGCTGCGTGCACCAGATCATGCCCCCCACTCTGTAACAGTTCAGTGCAACTACACAAATCATCACAGCCCCTTTTAATACCCAAGTAGAATCAGTTAGTGTTATAAACCCACAGTGGTCTTCATTTGCATTTCCTTGTCTTTGTCTCATCTGGATACCAGGGATAATAAGGAACGGGTGGAGTTTGCGAGAATCCACCCCTCCAACAGCTGTCATGGAGACCTCACTTCTCATCTCATGGTCCCAGGCGGGACTTCCCTCCAGTCTGGCCAATTAGGAGATCCTGCTGCACATTCTGCTCACCATCATTGGATGCCAAGAACTGGAAGCCCATCCCTTTGGATGACAGGACACTCTTATGGTAAGAGAATATTAATATATATACATTTTTATAGTGTTACAGATCATGTAAAAAAAGATGCTTTTCCAATTTATGGAATAGGTAAAAAAAGCATTTTAAGTTGTCTAACTTGGCAACAAATTTTGCGTTTCATTTAATGCCTGCAAATCTCTGTCATCTAAAATTTGTGCAGAATTCAGCAGCCAGCATTTTACGTCAATTCAACTTGAGCATCTTTTCAGGATTTCAGGATTTTGTGATTATGATTAATAGTCGTGTGGGAGTTTTATTTTTACATAGAATGAGATAGGTTTATAAATCTAAACTGACATCCTCTCTATAAAGCAGGTATAGGTCATACAGCCCTGCACCAGAATCTGCCACCAGGTTTCTCTGCAGCCATGTCAGGCCCTCTGCAGCCAGTGCTGCCTCTGCCTCAGGACCCCTCTACCCAGCTGGTGGTCCTGCCCACTGAGCCTCCCGCCCATCCTGCCACCCATCACCTGGGTATGCCTTAACCTTGCTTTCTCCTCAAAGCGTATGTGTGTATCTATGAGGCACTTTGAATATATCTGCATATACAGCCTCGCACAAGAACATTATTACATTAACATTAAAGAAAACGCTGGGAGTTCATCAGCAGTCTTCACAGGATCACTTCCTGTGAAGACTGCTGATGAACTTCCCTTTAATGGGCTCATTCACAGACACACACACACCACAATTCAAACATTTCCTGCACACCACCTGCTCAGCCCAGCAGGAATAGGGCTCTCAACGGGTTAGGGAACTCATCCAAAGCTACACTGTATGTGCACCCCCTATACACACACATGCATACGCTGAGTGCCACACCAAAGAAAGAGGAACTGTGTGAGTGAGGGAAAGATCACTTCTCAAAAGTCGTTGTAGACACACATTCAGTGAGCAGGCTGTGACATTTAATTAGCTCACAATCTTCGATGGTACGTTTCCTTCTGTGCTCCACAGGAGTTTCAGCTGAGAAAAGAAGTGCATCCACGAAAGCTTTCCCACAGGAAGTATCCAAGTTTATGTCTCTGAGCAAGGATTTTTGGTGTGTCTAGGAGAAAGGGGGTGGAGGGGCGAGTCAAGGGCAAAGGGTGAGAGAATAAAAAATTTGGTTTTTGAGGTTCGTACATGTAGGCCCACTACTTCCCCAGTGAGACCTCTGTCATAGCACATCACCCACACCAAGTTGTACTAGTCCTTAAAGCCACATAACTGAAAAGGTTGTCCACCCACAGACATGGGAACTATGCTTCCTGTCGGGCCCTTTCGCAGAACCTTATCTGGGATTTGGCTGGGCAGGTGGGACTTTTCGACGGAAAGTCCACACTGAATGCTCCGGCGAGACAAACAAGCATTTCCAGCCCAGTATTTTGACCTCCAATCAACCTAAAGCCATCATCATCTGTTCGCATTTTATCATTGTCATGACTTTTTTTTCAGCATTCCAGTAAATTCTCAAGGCAGTTCTTAAGAGACAGCTTTCTGTTCAGAGCGGGGGAGAGTGTGGGATTGCTGCTGCCTGGGGAGATGTTGTTCTGTGAAGTCAAAAATCTTTTTTTTGAAGACATTCATCTATGTCGTTGCTATAAAATGTGCATACAATGATTTTTAAATGGTCCATAATGGTTTCAGTGTTTTGAAATGGATGTGTGGGAGGCAGATAATGAGAGGATAAGGATATGGATAACACAATGTTGTATTCTCGTGTGTTGCGCTCGGTATCGATGTGTATGAATCCGAAAGGAAGAGGTTGCTAAAGTGTGTACGTGCGTGTGTGTCTTTTTGTTCTAAGGTAGCCCCCTCCGTCACATTCCTCCTCCTTTTTCTCATTAGATGTGATGGAGCAGCCAGGGCTGTGGCCCCCTGTGTATGGCGCCCGGGGCCCACCCTCCCACATGCAGCATCCTGCTGTGTACTCCCGATCCCAGTTTCTACGGCAACAGGAGCTGTACGCTCTCCAGCAGCACCAACAGCTCCAGCATCAGCATCAACATCAGCACCAGAGCCACCAGTCGCAGCAACCACAAACGCAGTCTCAAACCCAGCAGCAGCAGCAGCAGCAGCAACAGCAGCAGCAGCATAGAGCTGCGCATGGCATGGACATGCAACATCATGCAACTCATAATTCACAGGTGATTACAAAGTCAAAATATACAAAAATCTATCTATCTATCTATCTATCTATCTATCTATCTATCTATCTATCTATCTATCTATCTACACATGCAAAGGAGAACAAGACTCTGGCAGAGTGGATGAGTCATGAGTCAGCTTTTCTCACATGATTTATTTTGTCTATTTTTAACTCCCCTAAAATTTTTCTGAGATATGCTGACTTTCTCACAGGGATGGAGTGTAAATCACTGAATACAGGCTGCGAGCTAGTTTGTGTCAATGACCAGATTGCAAGGAATTAGTTATTACATTGCTAATGTAAAAAGGACCCTTCTGTAAGTGTAATTGTATGTTGTCATTTTAATACCACAGATGCAGAAGAGGCCGGATGAACCCTCCGTTGAACTAGAGGAACTCATTTCAGAACCGAGAACGTCTAAACCTGCCAAGCCCTACTCATACAACCCGCCCCAGAGGAACACCTCTCCCCCTGGGGCCTGCGCCGCTCACTTGTCCCCGTGTTGCCAGTCCCCGTCACTACGCCCGCATCCCAAAAGCACTCCTTCGACTCCCTGCCCCGCTCCCAGCCCTGCTGCAGCAGCCCCTCACTCACCTGCCATCAGCCCTGCCCCTCCTCAGATGCCCAAGGGGACTGAATCCCAGGACAAGCGAGGAGAGGGACAGCCCCCGCAGGATTACCCACAGTCTCTAGAGCCTGGTAAGCATCAGAAGAAGTATTTACATGCAAAAAAATATATACAAAGTGTGCCTCAAATATTTTCAGCTGCCTTTGATACACTGTGTGCAAAGGCTTCTGCATATGAGCCACATCAATAACATCTGATGAAACACTGTCAAAGAACATACTGTTGGAACCAGTTTCAGATGCCGCAAGTTACAGATCAGGGTTGGGCAATATGGCGCATGAATAATATTGCAGTATTTGTAGGCTATTATGTGATACACAATATATATTTAAATATTTTGAAGTCTCCTCTAAACTACTGTAGACAACTAAAATAATAACTACTAAATAAACTACTGTTACAATAAAGTAAATAAAGCACTTTTACAATAAAGTTAAATGTATTATTGTTATAATAAAGCAAAAATAAAATACTGTTATAATTAAGCTAAATAAAGTACTGCTACAATATAGTTAAATGAAGTTAAATTAAGTAGTGTTATGATAAAGCTAAATAAAATACTTTTATAATAAATCTAAATAAAATAGTGTTACAATTAATTTAAATAGGCACTGTCACAATGCAGTTAAATGTATTACTGTCAAAATAAAGTTAAATGAAGTACTGTTATGATAAAGTTAGATTAAGCACTCTTAAAGTTAGGTTAAATAAAGTACTGTTATTTTAAGTTGAATAAAGTACTGTTACAATAAAGTTAAATAAAGTATTGCTGTAATGAAATAAATCAGAACCACTGGTAGTCTCGCCACCAGACAATCAGAGCTCTCCGCCTTCTGATAGTCTGGGGACACTCCTTTCTAAAGTGTGTTTAACACACCGGCGAAAACGGCCGGCAACAAAGCAACGCCTCTTGCATTTTTGAAAAGGACACGCCTTCTCGGAAATGTGCGCTCCTCCTTTTCTCGTCCACAAGGAAACAAACACACAGAGAGCTTGAAAATGGATGCCGAGAGTTTAAACTCCGTTTTATCAAATGTGTGCTCATCCGTGAAGAAAATATTTTTTCCAGCGGTTGTCTTAGTTACAACATGATTGAGCTAACTGGAGTAGTTTCATGTCGTATCCGACAACGGGAGGCTTTTAACAGATGACGTCCTGATGTTAGCTTTGCTGCTGCTGTTAGCTGTCCCTGTCAGCTGCAGCCACTGATGCTTTCTAGACATTGTGATTTCCCAAAACTGAATAAATACCACACATAGCAACACAAAACTGCTTTGCTAGCTCAATCATGTTGTAACTAAGATATCCGCTGGCAAAGATATTTTTTTCACGGACCGTTTAATGAGTTATTACCTATTACAGACAGCGCTAACGGCTAACAGGGCTAACAGGGCTAACAGCTAACGGTTAGCCCAGCTAAACGTGGACACAGAAATAGTAATGTTTGTTCAATCATTGTGTTTATAGACTTTACAAACATCGGATTAGTCCAAACGGTGATACAGTGATGTGAAAAATATGATATATAGGCTATATATATATAGCTAAAAGCTCTGCTGGTTTTCTACCCGGAAGTATTTGTAAACAGCAAGGCGATTCCCTCTATAGTCCGGCCAGACGGATGAGTCATGGCCTTGTAAAAGATTATGTTTGTTTCTTTTAGTTGGCGAGAATGTGTCGCCACAAACGCGACAAACACCAACTAACTTTGATGGCGTTTTCTGCGAGCGCGGCTGGGCCATTTTGTACTGCTACAAGTGTTTCTAGTGGGACTATGTTTACAAGCACAAGAGTTCAGCGAGCCACCGAAAGACCCCCCTGCAGATTTACTATTGGTTCTGCAACGTAGGGAGTTTTTTAAACTCTGAAATTGTATCCGCCCATCTAAACACAAAATCAGGGAGAAAGTCATTAGTCTTTAGTTAATCAAAGCGTCTAAAGACTGACTCGTGAGTCTAAACCACTGGTGCTTTTATTCTGAAGCACTCAGCTCATCTCCAAAGTGTTGCTTTTTTTGCTGTGAACTTAAAGCTTCCGGTCAACAGTTACCTGATAGCAGAAAGTTAAAGCACTAAAGTGGCACCATTAATGTTAGGACAAATAGCTCTCCAGTTTATATATCAATAATATTTCAAGTCGCACTGGTGCTCCATGGTCACAAAACACAACTAAATGGTTGCAGTCTGCATCCCTTGATGGCTGGGGAGTGTGTTTGGCGCATTATGTTTGTGCCAGTGACTTTAAAAAAATGATGTGACAATTTAGACTTGATGTTAGTGATATGCATCCCGTGAGCAACCATACCAATACATTGAGTATAATCAGTATTTTGCTTACCCCTATTACAGATGTTTAGCCAAATAACTCAAACAGCAAGAGAGAGGACAGTGAATTCTAGGATAGAGGATCACCGTGTACATTATACCCAGTGGTAACTGGGATCGCCACTGTTGTAAATGATACTTTTTGTTTGCTGGTGTTGTGGTAATATGTGTGGGTGGCTGTGTTGGCAAGCCCCTGATTGACTGAACGGCTCAAAGCTGCAGAAAATGGCTGCCGGCTGAGCTGGGGCTTTCCACTACCGTTACCTCGGTAATGACTGAGAAACACCTCAATAGCAGCCCTCGCCTCTCCTCCACCCCCACAGGCCCCGCACTCTCTTCATCATCATTAATGTCTGGCTAACGGCCGCCGCACGCCAGAGGAATTGTGTCAGGTGCTCTGATAAACCAAAGCCTGGCTCACTTCAAATAACACACTCACACAAGGTTGCATGTGGTCCTGTACTGTTCCTACTGCTGGGAGATCAAGGCAGAGTGCGTTTCCTTTTCCTGGTTTTTATCTTTTGTGACCTTAAAGCTAGCAGGGGAATTAAGTTTAGAATGGGTCTGATGGGGAGGGACTTAAGATTTGCATTAAATGGGGCTTTCGGCCAAAATATGGCTACAAAATAAAGTCATTACAAGGTATTTTTGTGACTGTTTTTTCAGAATGGTTAAGCCAATACTGACAATTGATGATTTTGTTATCTTTATTTCTGTCTCTCTGTAGACTTACCTCCTGGATACACCTATCCTTCTATTGCCATGGGCTACAGGAGCGGGCCGTCCCCCCAGGATGTTCGACTGGCTGAGCCAGCCGACCTGGAAGCAGTCCAAGTGGAGCCTGCTGAGCATGCTCCTCAGTCTCTCTCCAGCCTGGGGGAGGAGCTAGACTGCCAAGCGGTGGTCAGGCCCCTACCAGAGTCACTCCCACCCGAGGAAGTGGAGCAGGAAGAGCAAGAAAGCGTGGTTGAGAGCGTTCTGGAACAGAGGGAGGAGGTGGAGGTCGCAGCAGTGACAGCAGCCAACTATGTGCCTGGAGAGAGGGAGGTGGAGGAGCAGGGGCCCGCTGAGGAAGAGGTGCTGGTTTGCCCTCCTGCTAAGAGCCCAGTGTGCGAGGCTGCTTCCTGTCCAGTCCCCCTTTCAACAGAGGAGCCTGAAAGGCCAGAAGCTGTCATCACCTTGGAAGAGGAAGAGGATGATGAGGCGGTGGGTGAGGAGAGCCAGGTGGAGCATGCTCAAAAGGGCAACATGTCTGGAGAGCAGGAGCCAGAGCTGCCCACCATCATTGAGCTTGACCCTGCTTCCCCTGCAGCTCCCGAGCCTCAGTCCTCAGCCCTTGAGGGAGCAAAGGACAGCGAGACGGTCCCGGATGACGCCTCAGTGGATTTTGTGTGTCTTTCCCCTGCCTCAGCTTCCGCCCCCAGCCCGAGTCAGGCAACTGTTGCCATGCCCCACAAACCTCTTGTGCCCTGCTACTGGAGTCTGGAGCTGCTGATCGCCGCTGCCTTCTGCACAGACGTACCTCCATTTCCCTTGTTCCCTCTTAGCACCCCATCAGCTGCCCCCTCTCAGCCTAACCCCCACCAGGGTATGGAGCTTCTGAGTGAGCTGGCAGATCTGGAGCTGCAGCAGCAAAAGCGCACCTGTGGGAAAAGTCAGGGTGAGGGACAATGGGTCTCCCATTAGTCATACACATTAACATGCACACGGAAACACATTCATATCAGCAGAATGCACTTCTCTCTCGTAGTTTACCCTCCTTCTCCTCTGCGTCCACTGAGACAAACTCCCACTCCCCCCTCAGGCCTAGCCTCCGTCACTCTGTGTTCCCTCCCAGATACTCCTCTCTTCCTGCTGGTCTCAGGAGCCTCTGGTGGATTCTAACATGTCCCCAGAGAAGCTGTCTGCATGCCTCCTTGCCGTTTCTCTTCTTTGGTGTGTTAAAGGCACTTTTATTTTCTAAAAGGCTGTTCTAATGATGCAGAGGCCTCAGGAGAGGGAGAAGAAGCAGGAGGACAGGGCTGAACTACTAGTGAGGGGTGCACACCTCCCTTTCTCGCTCCCTCTCTTTCCCTTCCAGCTTTCCTTAGGGAGCTGTCTCTCTGTCTTTCCATCCCGCCGCTGTTTGATCCACACGTGTGCACAAACGCACACACTCCCAAACACACATAAAAACACACACGCAATTGCATATACACACTCTTTAACAAAAAGGGAAGAAAAAAAAGAGACGCACCAATTGGCTTCCCTCTCTCTCCCACACACAACACGTAACTGAAAGTTAGTGTGTAATCACAAAAGCAGTCGATGTTTTCAGCACCCTGGAGCATTGCCTGGCTAATTAGACCCCATTGTTTTAAAGTGCCTTTAAAAGCTTCCTTGTTTTTCAAAGCGCCATGTGTTTTTTTTTTATTCATGCAAAAGGATGTTTTGTGTTTACCACAGCATCCTAATGCATTTAACTGCTCCCAAAAGAGGGTTCTATAAAAAGGGTATCATCAACTGATTCCAGAGTCAGTGATGTTGTCTTTGTGATGCGATACTGTTGACAGCTCAAGAAAGTGGCACATGTCGAGTCACAACAATAGTCTTTACCAAAACAAGTGCTAAAACAAGTGAGAAGAACCAGTATTTTTTTCGTGTTTATATACGTAAAGATGTAAGGCAGTGTTATTTTTTAAACAATTTTTCATGTTTCTGCTGTGCGGCTAGACTGCACCGCTGATATTCAGATATTTAGCTCAGCCCATTGACGGCAGATAGTCCAGTCAGTGCCACAGGCAGATAGGGCTACATACAGTAGTAGGAGCTTGGCCCAGATGGCCACTGACATAGCAGCATCTGGTGAGTCCACATTGATATGACCTCTGAAACGATACACTGCCACGTCTTCACACTGGCTTAATGTGCCAAATTTCCTTCCGTTTCTTTCTTACCGATCATTTATTTGCTATATCACAAGATTACTGCTGAGATATTAAGCCACATGTGCATGTTTTGGTGGTGAATGTGTACATATAGCGCTCACATGCACACAGTCTTTGTCATTTACTTTGAAATTAGTTTCTTTGACAAATTTTAAAGGTATAGTTTGGATCTTTTAAAGTGGGTACACCCCAGTTTGGAGAAGCAGGTAGGAGTACCGACATGAAAGCTAAGCAATGTACTGCTTTGGACAGGGGTCAGCAACAAAACATATTATAGCCATACAAAAAAGTCCCACCTGAAAAAAAACTACATTAGTTTAAGTGTGTGCTATATTTAGAATATTTTCACAGATTTTCCTTTGAAAGCCAGACTCCATTGAGAAAAACAGTGATTTAACATCACTGAACACAGTAGCTGCTGGTGTACCGCTGCCCTGATCATTTAGTTAGTTTGTATTATTGTGTGACTGTGGCACTGAAAGTGGTTAGTTCATATTTACCAAAGTCCAACCATAACATAAACAGGCTAACTGATCGAGACCATGGTAGACCAGCAGCTCCTGTGTTATGAGAGCTTAAAGTACTGTTTTTTTCAATGGAGTCTGGTGGTTTAGACGAGAGCATTCCACGGCTTCCGCACCCGAAAGGGCTGTTTGCTGCAAGGTAAAGCTGTGAAAATACTCTCAATGTAGCATACATTTAAACTGTTCATGACTAAAAAAACGTTTTGTTGTTGGCCCCCATCCAAAGCAGTACATTGCTTAGCTTCCATGGCAGCACTCTTGCCTACTTCTCCAAAAAGAGGGTATGCCGACCACCTTCTACTGTAGGTAATACACTGTCTATGGATAAGGACTTCATACAACCCCACTTCAAAAAATCTGAACTGTCCCTTTAAGGAAACAACCCCAGTTAATTTCTAGTGTCTTTAAATCAAGCATGCATGGACACAATATGAACTAAACAATTATTTTATTCCCGTAACAGAAGAGGAGTTGCTGATGTTTGACCTCCAGAGCCTTGCTACCCTGGCCACAGCCCGTGCACTGGAGATGGGCTCCCAGGAAGGCAGCAGTACAGCTTCAGGGCGACACTTCCCAGCCCGCAGGATCCTTAATTTACGTAGGAAATGCAGCTGGACACCTCGCAATGAACCAGTAAGACTGCAACTCCAGTGCTAATGCCTCAAAACACAAAGTTCCGATAGTTTTAATGTCTGTCATTGAAATAAATAAATGGATAACCTTGTGAAGAACGTGTTTTTCTTCGATTTAAGGATGTTTTTATTGGTAAAAATAACCACTAATGATGTGAACCTCAGGTGTGCCCGGCCAAAGGTAGCATGGAAACAATGGACGGTCCCGAGCTTGCAATGCGTGTGAAGCTGGCTGAGCTACAGCGTCGCTACAAAGAGAAGCAAAAGGAGCTGGCCAAACTTCAGAGGAAGCACGATCATCAGTGAGTATGACCTTATCCTCCTTTCCCTGAAGCTCATCTCTACCCTTTGCATTCAGGGATTTCAGAAGTAATAAAAAACAAACAATTGCTTCTAGTTCTCAGAGTATTCCTGTCTGCATTGCTTTGTTGCTACAAGCTTTTGAGTTTAAATATGTGAAGTATCTCAGACATCCTCTCTCTATGCTTGTCTGTTTACATCTGCATGTGCAAGCAGGAAGGAGGAAACACCTCGAAGCCCGGCTCGACGAGGACCGGGGCGGCCAAGGAAGCGGAAACCCACCCTCACCACAGGTCCAGTGTCCTCGTCTGAGGGCCAAAGAAAAGTCAAGTGAGTATCACTCAGCCCATCTACGCCGGCTGGCTGCAGTCCAACCCTGTCTGATAAGTCCCTCTGTATCACTGGCGTACAGGGACTGCTGCTCATTGGCATAAACAGGAAATGGGAAAACACACAGCTGAACCATTCAAGAAAGTCCACTTAAACCCCTTCCAATCTAATCATCACTGGCGTTAATTATATAACAGCATAATGTGCATAATGTGTCATTTTTGTGTATGTCTGCTTATACAGAATATTTATGCATGCTTGAAATATACCTAGAACCATCTCATTAGGCTTCAACCAAGCTAATCTTAAACCTCAACCGCATTGCTGTAGTGCATGTTGAGCTTTTGGGGGGGCAAGCTGGCTGCTGGCTGCTGGCTGAGGTGGGGAAGCGAGGGGATGACAGGCAGAGGATGTAATTAGAGTACTGTGAATTCTCCTGTAATCTGTCCCAGCAGCAGGAATGTGACACGCCACTGCCATTACAGCCCCACGGGGTCGCTAGGGGTCCAGAGGATAACATGATGGTCAGACAGTCCAGGCACTCAGAGATAAGCTGACATTTAGAGCTCTCATACAAAATCCATGTGTGTATGAGAGAAAAACAATTAGTGCAATAAAGTGAGCAGAGTAACGGAATAAAAATAAAGAGGGAGACTGATAATAGAGGACTGGAGGATATTCAAGAAACAAGGGCCCTACATTATGACATTTAAAAAAGTGCAAGCGTCAGCTTTTGTCAAAACAGGGGTGCCAGCGCTGTTTGGCGGAGGTTGGGGAACTGATAAACCGAAAGGGTCTCGGGGTGAAAGGTTTCCTGTCAGGCTTCAATTAGCTTTGTCATCAGGGTTTGGAAAGGCTTAGAGCACTAAATGTCACCTCGCAGCATTCCCTCTCTCTCCATCTTCTCTTCTCCCTCCTTTTCTCACTGTGGTTTCTGGGCAACGGTCCACAGTGTTCCCAGCTGCCCCTCTGTGGTGTCACCTCGACTCTCCTTCCACCCATGTACCCCTGCCCCCTCGCCAGGCCAGCACTGATCGGAGTGGGGATGCTGATGCCGGGTGACAATGACACCCAAATGAAAGGGTAGCGGGCTGCTGCCCTGCAGTGTAGTGCAATGGAGGGAGGGTGGGTGCTGACATGGGGGTGGTGGGGTGGTTGTGTTAAAATTTGAGCCACAGCTCAGGTACTTCAAGGCAGCCAGGGTGTGCTCTCTTTTGTTTCTGCAGATGTGTGTGTGTGTGTGTGTGTACAATGCAGCAGAAAATGACATGTCACATCTGAACAAGGAACAGGCAGGCTGGGGACTGATTAGCCTCACGTTGCGTTACATGGCAGGGTTATGTAAAAGCATGTACTGCACCTGCCACTCATGCTTCTACAAGATGCTGACGCTTGGGTGCTATGATGGAGGGCAGTGGGTCAGTGGGTAACAGCCCGGCCTTTTAGTATCTCTATCCTTTTCTTATTTTGCATGAACAACAGAGTGTGTGTGTGTGTGTGTGTGTGGTGGTGGTGTTTTAGTAAGCGATACATTCAAGCCTCCCTGCCTGCACATTCTATGCATCTGTGCAATTAGGTATGGATGCAGCTGTGCTCATGAGCATTTATACAGGCACTGTTTGTTTTTGTGTGCGCCTCTGTTATTCCTGTGGGTAGAGCGACGGGGTCCTTTGTGGTGCTGCTTTGATTGGGGGAAGGCTGGAGAGAACTACTGCTAGCCAGCAAACCCTGCTAATCAATTCTGTTTAATTAGTCACTGTACACTCAGCCCCCCCCAGCCCCCCACTGAGGGGAGGGACTCTGTCATATTGTGTTTGTCAGCAGCGGAAGGCGAGCCGTGGCGGGATCTGCCTCACAGGGACAACTCACACTTCCCTGCCACCTCTGTCACTCTCCTGTCAGTCAGCGAGCAGACAGTCCCACTGCCCGACAATCGCCTTCACTGTGTTACAGATGCACACTGACACACTCTTGATTGTGAGATCTACACACAGCCGAGGCCGTACATGCAAGTTCCGTGTTCACACAAACAAGAAGCGCGCACACATCTGATTCCAAACAATGTGTGGTTACAGAATGGTACGTCATACAATACGCAGACAAAGGACTAACATGAAATGTGCTTTATTTATCTACTTCACATTTAAACCCTGCTGTAAATGTGAGTGATTTCCGAGGCTGCATGCACATGAGGAGAGGGGAAGTTAATCTTTTGTTTGAGCATGGCCTGGCTCACGTCGGTGTGGTCTATGGGCAGGCTTCCAGAGGGAAATTCAAGGGCATTTGGAGTGGTTGGCCTGTGATGCTGCTCAGTGTAGGGGAAAGAGTGTGCCACAGTGATATGAAAATGCAACTGGAGAGCTATGATATTCGCTGAGAACAATAGAGCCGCATACAAATGCAATGCCTTCCAACCATTCAGTGTATCTTTCAAAGCTATGCAGTGCTTCACAGGCTGCACAGACACTCCCTAGATAAAGTGTTAAGGCTTCTTATGCCACACTGCCCTCAAACAATCCCAGGTTCCTTGTTAGATCCCATTTTTTTCAAGTGTGTGGTTCAGACACTGGGCTCTCCATGTCCTTTTTTGTCATTCTGTTCATCAGACAGAGAAAGGAGACTTATTAGATCCCACAGTGAGGTGACTCAACTCTGTTTTCCCCTGTGATGTCCTACCCCCTCTTTTTCTTTCAAACCACCGCCATTCTTCTCTAATGAATGCCTCTCCCTTGTTTTGACTGGCAGGTCGATGGGGGCGGGGCTTGCACTGTCGCCTGAGGACCTAGGAGGGGGCGGAGACAGCCAGAGAAGGAAGAAGAGGCTGTCCAGTCGAGGCTTTGAGCGACTCAGCAGCACACAGGTCAGGGTCCCCTTGTCCTCCTCCCTTTTGTCCTCTATGCATCTAGAAATAAAAGAGGCCACTCTTTGTTTCTTTGCGTTTGATATATTCCTTTGTTGCACACTATTTCTAATTAGGTGCTACCCTCAGGAGTCAAATCCGCTGCTCTCCATATTAATATCTTTATCATTGGGGCTTCTACTGTTCCTTTTTCTTCTCTGTGTGTGAGCAAACGAGAGCCCTCTCCCTCTGACGTTCTGATGCTTTTTGCGGCTGCTGTGACCGGGAGTATAACTGGCTCTCTTCGGCTCTCTCATCTCTCTCTGTTGCAGCAGATAAAAGCACAGGGCTGCAGAAAAAGCAGTCTTCACAGCATGCCCGGCTCCAAGCTGGCTGATGATGTGACTCAGCTCAAACAGAAAGCGCAAGGTAAAAAGATTCTCTCAGGGACGGGCTCCAGGGACAAGGAGGTTTCGCCCTGTAACTCCAACCCCAAGCATGGACACAGAAGCCAGGGCACAAGCAAAGCAGAGTCCAGGCGAGAGTCTGGGGGTCAAAGTGACACAGGTAGTTACTGGCAATCCCTGTCTTGTGCCTCATGCTGTTTTGTTTTAATAAGCACAGTGCTGTGGTTTCACTTTCATATTGCTCAGTCCCTAAAGTCCCAATCTTAATATAGATTTGTGATTGGGTTTGCAAACTTTCTCAGCAGCCAGTGTGGACAGTGGCCCTCAAGAGAACTGGGCAGGACTGGTGCACCGTGGACGTAAAAAGGGATCCACCGCACTGACTCAGGGTTCCTCCCGCCTGAGCCAGCCCAGAGCGAGGGTTCTGCGTGGCCATAGACAGGAGGCGATGGAGGACGGAGAGAGCTCCCCTGCAGAGAGTGACTCCTCTGATCAAGGTGAGGCAGCAACCACTGAGACATGTGCAGTGATGGGTAATAAAACTGGCCACAGCAACCTAGCACGGCTCAGTGCTAAACAGTGTCTTCTCAAAATAAGAAAGATGTAGGCATGTTTTCTGGTCTTAGCCCTTTCTGTATGAAGTTTGTGTGTTTTTCTGTGTTCACACTGTTGACTTCTGGGATTTGTCCTTCACTCCAGCCAAGACAGGCAAGTAAGGTGAACCTCGGTCTTGACTATTTACGAAAGTGTTCCCTGTATGATGGAACAGTCATATGTCAAGGGTATTTTTGGATGATGAAGACTCTATAAACATTCAACCTGTTTCAAGTTAAAAATAAAGAAACAGCTCCTGATATAGGTCACATCCACACTAATATTTTGAAATTAAAACAATCATGCACACAAGCATTTTGGCACTGTTTCAGAAATAATCTCAGTGCTGGGGTAAACAGGAAGCAGATTGTCTACTCTGCAGCTGGTTGCTCAGTTACTGAAAATACAACATGGATGGCGAAAAGTAAGATCAGAGATTTCTTTGCTCGGACCAACCACAAGGTGGATCTGTAGAGAAACACATGACTATGAAGCGGTTAAGGTGGCAGAGGACAGATTGGGAGTCACTGCAAAGCAAATATGGCAACATATTAGAGCAGCAGCGTATCTATAGCTGGAGGACGCCATGGAGTAATGTTACCCACACAAGATGAAATCACAAAAGGTAGCTGTATGTTTTGGCTTGACACTGTAACTGATAAGACCCAATCAGAAAGCAGACGTGGTTGTCTGCCTCATCATTTTTAAAAGTCTCCTTTTCCGCCTGGCTCCAGGCTACAAGGCGACCCAGAGTTTTCAAACTAAAACCAGGTCAGCAGTGTTTTCAAAGGTCTCTGTTTTAGGGGTTGTCGTGTGGAGACTAGTGTGGATGCACCCCAATATCACCAACACATGGAGTCAGGTATCCTCTTACATCAAATGTGCCTTTTGTGAATTTGTAAATCACTTTAAAGGCAATCAGAGGTGAGAAAATAGGTGTTGATGAATGTCTTGTAACGGACAGGGGTGTGCAAGGACATTCGACACCTCAGTGATTGGCCTTGTTGGCTGGTCCGGGCCTAGATGTACAGCCACAGCTGCGGACACTTGCCTGTGAGAGGCTTTGACAACCCTGGAGACTAACAGACTGGGTCAAAGAGCTGCTTGAGAAAGTGCAGTGACAAACACACACACACACACACACACACTCCTACACTCTCTTGCACATTAGTTCTGTAGCATGTGGGTTCACACCAGGAAATACCACCGAGGCAAAGCACTTCATACATCATTTCTATGAACAGTTAAACTGTTTACTTAAATGCTAATGAAGTGCTTGTGAAATGATGGGGAGTAAGTTAAACTTGGTTGGTAATGACTTAAAGAGATGGACTTGATAAGCCATGGAAGTTCATAAAAACCTACCTAATAGTAGCATCTCTGTGCTGTATTGTTTGTCATCTCCTTTAGAAGATGAAGAAGAGGAAGGCAGTTATGATACCGATGAAGCTCAAGACTACAGAGCCCAACCCCCCAGAGACGTCACTTCTAGCTCGTCCGTGACAGGTCCGAGTCCCTCATCTGTTGTAAAGCTGGAGGCCAATCAGAAAGCCAGGAACAAAAAACAGAGACAGGAGCTTTATGGTAAGACTGTCCTTTGAACCTGATTCATAAGTCAACAAAGCTGGCCCACATCTTCACAGGAAGCATCTGTTTTGTGTTTCTCCTCCTGGCTTGTTAGCTTGGTCTAAATCTGTTTCTCTAATTGAACTGCACAGGCTCCCAGAGTCTGTCTGGAGCAGAAGGTGAGGTCAAAGTGAGGAAGCCCCCCTGTAGGCTGGGCCTAGCCACTGCAGTCAAAAACCGCCATGAAGATCACCGACCCGAAGGGGTTAGAAGGCCGTGTGGACCCAGATCAAAGGAGCCTCGGTGGGGTAGCCTTGGGACCAGAGGCAACCGCTACCGGCGGAGCATGGGACTGGCCACCTTCCCGACCACCAGTGAGAGGCTAAAGAGGGCGACCCGCAAGAGCACAATGTTGAGGGGAGCAATCAATAAGGTTAGCAGAAAGTATTTTGGAATATATAAAAGTTATGTTCCCTCAAATGAATCATTCATACCCTCAGAGGACTAAATTATTGCCTAATATCATTTCCATGGGACTAGTGACCAACGAATCCTCCTGAATCTAGCGAGATAAATCCATGCAGATGCGTAGCCATGCCAAAGTTTTGCTGGGTTTTTAAGAGCAGAGCAGAGCAGGGGCGGATTATGAGACAACAAGTCCCTGGGCCCAGACATGCAGAAGGGCCCACCACCTCTCAAACTTAGAAGAAGGACACACAGACTTTATTGTTGTTTAGCCTCTTTTTGTTGTTTTGTGCTCTTTGTAGTTGTATCACATTTCTCTTTGTTGACATATTGTGGTCATTTTGAGTCTCTTTGTGGTGATTATGAGTCTCTTTGTGGTCATTTTGAGTCTCTTTGTGGTCATTTTGAGTCTCTTTGTAGTTGCTTTGTGTCTCTTTGCAGTCATCTTGTGCATCATTGTGATCGTTTCGCCCCCTTCCATAATCATTGAGAGTCTCTTTGCAGCTGTTTTGTGTCTCTTTGTGGTCATTTTGAGTCTCCTTCTGGTCGGTACATAGCTCCTTGAATGATATTTCACAGGTTAAGGCCATGGGGGCCTCTGACAGGTTGAGCCCCTGGGCCTGTGCCCTGTAGGCCCATTCAGTAATCCATCCATGGAGCAGAGCAAAATAAAACAAACTACAATGTCAGGCCAGATTAAGAAGACATGTCGATTCGGAACAGCCTCAACAGCAGCATCTAACTTAACCGTAGCACTTGCCAGTGTTGTTAGTACTCCTCACTGCTTTCAGCACTGCTTGACAGTGGCATTTTAACTAAGAAACCGAAGTTTTATGTCATGATGCCAGATGAATCAATGAACTCGACCTCAGTGAAGTGCATGGATTCAAAGGTCTGGACACAGGCAAAATAAATTCTTATTTTTGATCATTTATGTGCACGTGTTCCTGCTTCCCCTGCACTTGTTGGGACCAGAACCTGAGTGCCTGTGGAGATATATCACACTCTCACCACCACTCACCTTGTCCACCTTCTTGTCGACTTCAACAGAGGAGAAGTTGCTGGTCAGTTGGAGCTACATCTTCACAGAATGAGGAGGGCGGCAGGGGACGAAGGAGCAAGGACCAACAGGTAGTAGACACCGTGAATTTAGAAAGCACTCAATCCTCACTCAGGAAACCAGGCACATGCAAACCACCAAACACAATTCAGTTCTACAAAAATGTCTTTGTATAGTCTATTAACAATTCTGGTGATGTCTTACTGTCCTAGATTTCTCACCCTGAGGACTGTTACTGTAGAACTATTAAAAGTACTTAGCACATCGCACATAGCCCAACCTCCTGCTGAGTAATCTTAGGGGAGGAGAGGATGGTAGAGGAGACGTGGGAAGGGGGGCGGCTCACACCTTCTGCTGTGACAGAGTGAAAAAATGGCTACTGGTACGAGATAGTACAGGCACTGTGAAGTCCCCTGTGGTTAATTGCTACTTTGAGTAGCATGCTAAACAATTTCCCCTTTCTTCTATCACACTTTCCGTCTCCACGTTTATTTTTTTATCCATCCCTGTACCATTTATTCTTCTGTGCGTCCCTTCTGTTATGTTTTACAGCCAAAGGGACGAGCAGTGAGTCGGCTGCTGGAGAGCTTCGCGGCTGATGAGGGCTTTCAGATGGATGGCAGCAGCTTCTCAGAAGAAGATGAGGACAGCAGCCGCTCATACAACAACAAAAGCCCTGAAGGTAAGACATAACTCTGGATATCTTTTACAACAGTGTTTCAGGAAGCAGGTAGATTCAGTGATGTTGTGAAATATTAAATGTGATGTTTGCTTTTTTCCTCATGCAGTTCCCAACTGTGTCCTGACCAAAGAACTCTTAACTGATGGACTGAAGGTGCTGATCTCCAAGGAGGATGAGCTTCTATATGCTGCCAGAGTCCACACACTGGAGATCCCCGACATGTAAGCAGTGGTTCAAGTGATCAGTCAGGGTTTGAATACACTGACTGTGTGTCAGTGTCAAGTACTCAGTTCATTCATTCATTTTCCGTAACTGCTTATCCAGTTGGGTGTTGCGGGGGGGCAGACATTGGGCGAGAGGCAGGGTACACTCTGTACAGGTTGCCAGACTATCACAAGGCTGACACATAGAGACAGACAACCATTCACACTCACATTTACTCCTATGGCCAATTTAGGGTCACCAATAAACCTGCATGTCTTTGTACTTTGGGAGGAAACTGGAGTACCCACAGAAAACCCATAGGGCTCCCCCATCATGGGTTTGAGCCAGGAACCCTCTTGCTGTGAAGCGACGATGCTAACCACTCGTCTACCGTGCCGCCCCAATTACTCTGTGTTGCGCTGAATTTCTGAAGAAAACTTTGTATTTCGAGTGAACGAAGAATCCAAACACTCAGACAAATTTCTGATGAATTGAAGTCAAAGGCGACCGCATTTAACAACAAAACTCGTGCATAGATTCATTTCACTTTCTGAACAGTTCCCTGTCGCAAAGGCCAGTTTGTTTGAGAAGTACTAAGCATACGATTAAATAAATGAGACTTGGATTATGCTGCTGAAATTGTGTGAGAGTTTGTTAACAGATGTTTTGACGTTGCTTTGTTGTTTAAACGCAACTCCCTGTGACTTAAAGGGAAATTTCAGTTTCAACCTGTCTCCTATCGTCCTAAATTTGTTTCAAGTGACTAGTGACATAAAAATAATAGTTAGCATGTTAGCTGTTTGCCTAGATACAGCCGGGGTGCATAGTAGCGTCAGACCTGTTAAAACGTAAGTGAACGGGCATACTTCAAGTGCAAAGTTAGTCCACTAAACAAGCTTTTTTTCCACAAAGACCGCCTCATATCGTTAGGATAAATGTCAGAGAACATATAGAAAACGACATGTAAACGTGTTGTCTTACCTTACTGGTGTGGTGCCATGTTTGTTTACCATTTAGCTCTGCTTTCCAAAGCGCGGCCGAAATATATCTTGCGAGAACAAGCAGCGATCTCATACTGTGCTGCTAACATGCTAACTATTATTTTTATGTCACTAGTCACTTGAAACAAATTTAGGACAATAGGAGACAGGATGAAATAAACTGAAATTTCCCTTTAAATTCATCAAGAATTTTCTGTTTTTAGATTCTTTGTTCACTGGAGGCATGCGGAAAAAAAGTTTTCTTCAGGAATTCAATGCAACACAGTGATTAACTGATGAAATGATCATTTTGGGGGACAAAGTATTTCTTTAATCAGGTTGAAATCGAAGTAAGGATGATGCAATTAATAGAGTTAGATTACTTCAGTCTTTCAAATTACAGTAACATGTTTTAGAACTTTTTGTCAGTGCTTAATCTGCACATGTGCAGAAGCTGATATATGTCTAGAATTGTGGGGAAATGAAATTAATGAATTATCCTTGAGGCTAGCACATCCCTCCAGACATCAAAACACCATAAAAGAAATCATGCATACAAGGTCTATTGGGATAGGCATCTTTAGGATCATGAAAAGACAAATTTTGTATGAGAGGACTAGAAGTTACCATCAGTACCCAAGTTTTTGCCTCTTTTTATCTCTCTTTATGTCCTTCCTTCTCACTGTACAAACCCCACATGGTCCCATACCTAGCTCTGAGTATCAATACGGCTCCTCCGGCTCAGGCAGCAAAAAGCTGCTTTAACAACAGCAGAGTGGGAGTAACATATGACACGGGAGCCAAGCAAGCATAATACAAGCATCTGAAAATATCTTTTTCTTCTCTCTCTGCCATGCTGTTTTCTCTAGCTTCAGCATTGTTATCTATGGTGAAAGAGGAAACCGCCCAAGAATCTATTCATTGGAGCAGCTGCTACAGGAAGCTGTAAGTTCACCCCGCTGCACTAAAACACTCTTTGTTACAGGAAAAACCATCACTTGTTTGGTCTTCTGGGTCCCTCAACACTTCTATTTCTCTTCCTTATCCTTCTCACCCTCTGCAGTTCTCCATAGCATCCCAGCCTCTCTGTAGCTCTGCCAATCCCTTCATTTTCACTCTTTCAACCTCCCCTGACATTCTCCCAGGGTCACTGAGGCCATCTAAACCTCTTAAATGCATATGAACATATGGGAGGCAGGATCTTTGGGTTTGTGTGTATGTGAGTGTCTGTGGATGTCCGTTAAACCACACTCGGTGTGTGGGTGGGATAATCCCGCTAACACCTGGATCCATTCATGTTTTGGAGTTTAAATGGAAGATGACGTGAACTTCACACCCTTGCTGCCACCAAAGCAACAGACTTGTTTAAAGGCTCACATCGACAAAGATACAACAGTGTATGAAGAGAAGCTGGTCCAAAGTGTAGGGCTATCCAGCTTTTGTAAGACATGTATCTTTATTTCACAATAAAATTGTATACCCGTTGTTTTTTTCAGTTGCACCTGGGTGGGGTTAGGATTTTGCCTTTACCTAAACCACAAGACCATTTGGATTTGTGATTCTCACTCATGTTAAGACACAATTACAGTTTATGGAAGTCATCCATATAATGAGACATAATTATACATTAGAGAAACCACAGCACATTCTTGGCTGGTGTTCATTTGCATTTAGGTAAAATGTGCTTCCTGGTTTGCTTTGCATCCAGACTGGAGTTTTCATCGCTGGTGACCTTTGTTCCATTTTTTTTTTTATTGAGAGGATGCCAGGTCACCTAAAGCCACCGTCATACCCACATCTTCTCCAACTGTGGACAAAAGTCTTGCCAAACAGGGCAGAGGAGGTTGTGTTTGCAGACAATGGAGCAGAGTTTAACTGGCATGATTGTGCCTTGGATTAATGGCTTTTGCTGTCACTTTAATACGGGCAAGGAGAAGCTGCCAAAAGGGCATGATGACTGTCCTGGGACCCCACTTAGAATAGTTTTGTGATCATATTTCATCAAAATTGTATAAATCCTATTATGACATAGAGGTTATCACAACTTCACATGAATTATAGACTAAATCTAACTGAATTTCCTGTTTGTTATGTTGAAGTGCAGCATCTGTGCAATTTGAGCTGTTTGCTTCCTCTTGAAAAAACATTTTCACTTAGAGTCATGAAGCATTGCTTACATTTCAATAAAGCAGGCTAAATTATTAAGTAAATATAATGATGAAATGTGAAACCCTGCATTTTTGTTCACGTCTGTGTTTAAAGCTAACTGAAATTATTACATCACATGTGCATAGGATTTAATTACACCTCCTCAACGAACCTAATTGAAGTATTTTTGTGCAGTATTAGTATTAAATCCTTTCCTGGGTTTAGACCTCGGAAACTACCCACTCCACCAAGTTGACTGATTCGTCTGGCATTGTGACATGAAACAGCAGTTTCTCAGTTGAAATAAAAAACAATCCAGTGAGAATTTTAAGATTAGCCAATCAGCGCCACAGGCAGGACTAATGCCATTGTTAATCTCTGGGCCGCCAGAACCAATGAGGAGTAATAACAACAATGGCAACTCCTATGGACAAGCTAGAAGCTGCTATCACGGCTATTCTAAATCAACATGTCCTCTCAGTATCGCCCGACATAGTGTGTTTTACATGGCTTTGCTCCACACCTGGCAAAACCAGTGTGTTGGCAAAGCTACACATCAGTATGGACTTAAAATGACGTTAGATTCAGATGGATATGTTCATCGCTGGTGATTGGCGAGGGAAAATCAAATACCCCTCCTCCACAGAAATCAGTCAGAGTTGAGGCAATGTCAGACTGAAAATGGAGAAAAAGTGCAACGAGCTGACAATTCTGTCTGATATCAGGTTGTATAATTCCAAGTACACTCATAAAAGAAGTCTTACGTGTTATATTGTTTAAATCTCCCTAAGTGTTACCGTAGCATTTAACTGCCCACAGGATCAGTGTTCATCAGGTGCCTGTTGTTCTGCAGTGGAAGATCACAGATACATTAGTCCATTTACTATCTGACCTCCTCTTTATCCAAGTGAGCTCACTCATACCGATTCTCCCGGCAGTTCCGCACAAAGCACTTCTGGCAACTTTAGTCTTATTTAAACACTCATCAGATAGCAGCTGGTCCTAATTATGCCACACTTCCACTTTCTTGTCTTTTAAATTAGTCCCAAAGCCATTTATTTGACTCTGACACCAATGCCCCGATTTTCACCGCGCTCCTTCTCCCTCCCCCCATGCACACACACACCCACTTCCACACCTCATCAGTCAAAGGGTCCCTCGCCATGGCAACAGTAAATGAAAGCAACCTGAAAGAGCCCCCAGTGAGTGGCGGATGCTGGGGCTGCCTGCATTGTTGGAGGGAGGATCTGGCAACCTGCAATCACAAGCCCTCTATTCAGGCCCTCTTTAGTATTACTCAGCAAGTCAGGATTTACTGCATCATGGCTTCCGTTCTTTTCAGCCCTGACTGGCACATTGGCATGAGATAAGTGCCGCTTGGAAACGTGGCACAGTGGCTGCCCATGCACAATGCTCTATGGCTCTCACACTGTTTGTATGTGTGCGTGAGTGTGTGTATGCATGCATGTCTGTGTGTGTGCAGCCTGTAATGAATCTTAATTATGTTTTGGTCTGGCCTTCAGGTCCTGGATGTACGGCCAGAGTCGGAGACAGTGCTCACTGAAGGAACCAGGGTGTGCGCTTACTGGAGCGAACGCTCACGCTGCTTATACCCAGGCTATGTTCGCAGAGGTGAGACATCAGCTTCTTCCATCCCTGTTTTCCTGTGTGTCCTTTCTATATATTTAACTATATATTTAGTTTTATGTTTACAATCATTTTTAGCATTTGCTAACTTCCCTGCTTACCCAATGAAGTGCATTTCTGTCTGTTGCAGGTGGTTCATCTGATGAAGGGAAGCAAGGAGGGGTGATGGTAGAGTTTGATGATGGAGACCGAGGGAAGATTTCTCTCCCAAACATCCGCCTCCTGCCTCCAGGATACCAGATTCACTGTGGGTGTCTTCTCTCTGTGTTACTGCGAATTGTCCCTTTCATACTGCACTGTATTGTCTACTTGTAAGTAAATGCTAATAATCTTCTGCCCCTTGTCCTGTAGGTGGGGAGTCATCTCCTGCCCTGCTGTTACCCAGCGAGATGACAGCCAAGAAAAGTTCCAGTCTGGAGCAGGCCCCCATCAGTGACAGACCATCTGACAGACTTAATACATTCATCAACAGCCAAACAACTGTTCACAAAAGAAGACCAGGTAAGAGTTAACCCTTCAACCTCTTAATTTCTCCTACAATTGATGGCTCGCGTCAACCCCTAGCAGTAAACGGAGGGCAGGGAGGTGAGCTTACCATCCTCCTGCTGCCAACATCCAGTAAAACTGAAACTAAGAGACTCAGCTGGATCTGGAGTGAGAGTCTGTCGAATATCTATCTTAAAACTAACTTCATTGCAGCATGGCAGCCATGGTTGGCTTGACTGCAGTTCTTTGGACTGGACTGGAATCTGGAACAAGAGATTTTATTTTGTATGGGAGCATGCACAGTCTGCTATGCCTACAGTCTGCACAGTCACATAAAAATGGGCTACACGCAGACATCGATGTCGCACGCCTGCATTAGATTGAACAGTTTATTTGATACAACTGTTAAGTGAACAGTATGTACAACTGAGACAGCCATGTTTCATCATTTGCAATGTATTGCTAAAACATGACACGCGTGTTCTTCATTTTAGGGAGACCAAAGGGTTCTGGGAAAAAACAAAAGCTGCAGCAACAGCAGGCTGAGAATGCCAATAAAAATCCTTCACCTTTCCTGAGTTGGCCTTCATTGGGCAACACCAGGAAGAGGTCATCTGACAACCTGTTTCAGCTTAATGGAGCACCCAGGAAGGCCTTGAGAGGGTCAGAGGATGACCCGTTCCCCTTGCCTAGGACCCAGCCACTGGCTTCCACCCCAGCCAAAGGCCTTTTCAGCAGCAGCTCCTTTGAGGTGGACTCCTTCAGCAGCATTGCAAATGGCTACTCCTCCTTCTGCACTCAGTCTACAGGGCCGAGTCCAGGTTTATCGTTGGGCTCCAGAAGTGGGCTGTATGGCCAGAGGCGCAGGCAAGATGAGCTAATTATGCCAAGGAGCAGGAAGTCTGGACAAGAGTTCCTGGTCAAATTAGATCATGAAGGAGTGACATCCCCCAAAACAAAGAACAGCAAGGCTCTGCTGTTGCGAGATGGATCTTCCAGTGTGGGTGGTATGCCCAGGACAGAAGCTTACTCTCACCCTGTCCTTCTGGTTAAAGATAACAAAAAGGGCGGTGCGTCCAGGGTAGAACTTCTCCTAAAAGGAACAACACCCCAAAGAAAGCCCTCCTATTCTCTGCGTCTTGATGAATATGGGGACTTGGGCTTCAGCTCCCACAGAGAGTGTCACAGCTCTTACTCTGATCTTGAAGATGATGAGGAAGAGAGGAGGAGGGCTGCACTGGCTGCAGCCTCAGGTGGACTAAGGACGGCTGGCCGCTTCCTGTCTCGTCTCTCTGTCTCTTCCTCATCCTCTGGTTCTTCAAGCTCCTCCTCCTCAGGCTCTCTGTCCAGTTCCAGCCTGTGTTCCTCTGACAATGATTCCTCCTACAGCTCAGAGGATGAGGATAGTTCTACACTGATGCTTCAGAGTTGTCTGTCTTCCCACCGGGGGCTCCTGCAACCCTCTGAACCCTCCACTTCTTCAAGGCCGCACCAGCACTCATTTGTGGCCAAAGCTGTGGCTGTTTCCAATGCCAAAGGAGGCCCCCCTGACCAGGTCTCCAACAACAAGTCCATGAAGAGGAAAGAATGCACCAGCTCCCCATCTAAATCATCTAAAGATTTTGTGAAGAAACCTAGGATGCTTCCAGATGACACCTCATTCATTCCAAGGCCCAAGATGTCTGCGTTCCTTGCAGGACGACAAATGTGGAGGTGGTCAGGAAACCCTACACAGGTGAGAATATTCCATCCATGTTTCTGCTTCATCAGTGTAGCAAAGATTTGTCCTTCTTTTCTCTCATAATATCAGTTAGCTTAGAATATTAAACCACTAAAGGTCAAGAGAGGTAATAATAATCATTATCAAACAAGACTGATCAAAGTGTCTGTTTTCCACAGCGGCGAGGTCTCAAGGGCAAGGCAAGGAAGCTTTTTTATAAGGCCATTGTGCGAGGCAGAGACACAGTGAGAGTGGGAGATTGTGCTGTGTTCCTCTCAGCGGGACGCCCGAACCTCCCATACGTAGGTCGAATTGAGAACTTCTGGGAATCCTGGACCTCCAGCATGGTGGTCAAAGTCAAGTGGTTCTACCATCCTGAAGAGACCAAGCTTGGCAAGAGGCATCGAGATGGCAAGGTGAGCCATGATGAAGAGTTACAACTTTGTGGAGACTGTTGCCATTTGTAGCATAGAACGTTCGAATGACAATGATGCAACTAACCCTGTCTTTTCCTTATGCAGCATGCCCTGTACCAGTCATGTCATGAGGATGAGAATGACGTCCAGACAATCTCTCATAAGTGCCAGGTGGTGAGCAGGGAGGAGTATGAGTGTCTGACTCGCAATCAGAAGCCGAACAGTACCTCCCCAGACCTCTACTACCTGGCTGGGACGTACGACCCCACCGCTGGTCAGTTGGTCACTACTGAAGGGGTTTCCATCCTGTGCTGAACCTTCGTGAGGACACTACTGAAGGACTCCTTTGGAGGAAGGATAGAAGTCTATGACTGTACCTACAAGACCCTCCAGCCTGGGAAGACAACAAGTGTTCCTTGGGTACGAATCAAAGACCCATGGACAAAATGTCGGCACCAAAGCAGGGCTGTCTGAGGTTACACACTGGAGTCTATTGGCGTCTAACCTTTGTGGAAGTGAAGGGGGATGTCCATAACTGGTTGATCCTTTCTAGAAGAATAGCAGGAGGTCTGGGTCTTCCTGGGCATCACAAAATTCGATAAGTGGCGTTTCGATCGTCCAACTAATCTCTTTGTAATGGATGTGATAGACAGCTTCATAAATGGTTTTAGGACTCAAGCTTTCAGCTCCTATCATATGTCACCAAAGTAGAGCTGAGAGTGAGTTTGACTGTGCAAAATACCATGAGGCTGAATAGTCTCTGCGGACCAATTCTATAAAGGTAGCCTTACCTGAGGGAATGGAAAAGAAAGTGAGGCATGGGGCTCTCCCTAGACCTCTTCATTCCAGGGAAGTTGAAAACATGTAAAAGATGTAAAGTTGATGTCTGTAAATATTTTTGAATTTTTTCCCAATCAAGCCATACACTTCAGTACCTCTCACCTGTCTTAACTGTTCAGGTGTACATTGTACAGGTCAATTATTGTATTGTTGTCTGTTGTCTATATGTACATAAAAGCTATTTTATATAGGAGTTTATTGTATATATGAGATGTATCTTTCCATGTTTGCGATTGATTTATTTTTATATGGGTGTAGAATACATTACATCGTTTTTCCTTTGCTTTGGGAAGTCAAGATTGGAGATGTTAGTGTTGCACTGCATATGCCCTGCTGAGACAGACAGAGACAGACAGACAGAGCACAAACAAAGACAGAAGGATTTAGTCTATAACAGGACGAGAGACTCACTTTCTGAGAGAGAGGGGTCATCCTGTTTAAAAAATAGGTCAAGTGGCTTTTTTTGTAAAAGTGTTCTGTTACTTTGCATTTTTTGTTATCCTATTTTAAAAACACCTTTTTATTTATGTACCTCTCAGTTGGTCATCATCACGAGGCAGATCCCACTGGACTGCAATCACGGGTCAAAAATGATTTAAGATCAATGATATATGAGTATAACATTTTGACACAATATTTGTGTGTGATGAGTGTCCTGGCATCACTATAATCATGTCCACACAAATCAATTTAGAACAAGACTGGGTCTTTTTTAATGAAAATGTGTTATATGAATGCATAGTTCAGCACATTATGACCTACAAAATACCAAAGTGTCTTTTAAATATCTTTATTTCCTTTATTTAAATTTAACATATGTCAAGCACCTGTACTGAACTCAAATCAGAAATCACTGGTAACTTATTGTCCTCCACTATGTGCATATATATTGGCTTTGCATTGTGACAATGGTTTCTTGCACATGTACCTGCAGTTTTGTTTAGTGCAAACATATGCAGCAAAAGGCCACCTGGGAGTGAGACTATGAAGGTCAAGGTACTGACAAAGAAAGATGTTGAGTACTGACAATTTGTTGGAATTAGTCTATTTTAGTTTCATCAGCCATCTGTGTCTATTTTGTACAGTACACGCACATACTCGATGCTAACTGTGAAGGACAATCAGATTCACAAAGCAATGGACATAGAGTAGGTTCACTCAATCTGAAAATTTACTTAAATTTATTTAATTTGTGCCAAGTACATTTTGTCTATATTTTTTTTGTCTTGTTTGATATGCAATCCTGAGTATTCTTTGTTCACAAAGTTTTATTTTGTTCGCCAACATTTTATTTATTGTCAATGTTGCTGTTTGTTCATGCCAAGAGCGCTTTATGAGAATGTGACATTGTTTTTCTTGGTGTGATGTCGCATTTGCATTTCTTAAATAAAACTGGTCTTGTAGAGGCCATCTAGTGAAAAGAAATAAAGCAACACTGGATTCTTCTCATCCGCAAACCTCTGTGAATTAATTCCAGTATTCTGGCTGTGTCCTCTTCATCTCACCGCACCTGCCATCTTACTGCACCTGCCATCTCCCATCAACGCATTTATGTTAAACCGTTTTGTAATGACTACAATATTGCCTTTGAAAGACAGAATAAATTTAATTTTCTCATCCAAATGGGACAAACAGGCAGACAATTTTACCAAAGAGGCAGAGTTTTAAGAATAAACAAACCTAGTCCAAGTGCACTGGAATGTTTTTATACAAGGTGGTTTTGGTGGTGTGTTAAAACTAAAGGGGGTGGGAAGAAAAACAGGAAGTTTAGAGGTTGCCTATTAACACAAATGGAGTAATTAGTTCAGGCAGAGCACTTAAGATGTGCATGTCATCAGCTGATCAGTATCATCTGACTATAACTATCACCAGGATGTCAATAGGGCTACAACTGATGATTATTTTTATTACCAATTAAGCTGGAAATTATTTTCATGATTAACGGAATAATTTCTGAGTCTATTACATTTTTTAAAAAATGTGAAAAATGCTCAAAGTGATGTCCTCAAATTGCTTCCTTTGTCCAACCAACAATCCAAAACCCAAAGAATCTTCATTTGTGATCACAAACAAAAAAGAAAAGCAGCTAATTTTGACATTTAAGAAGTTGAAACCAGCAAATGTTGGACATTGTTGCTTGAAAAAAAGAAAGAAACCAGTATTTAATTATCAAAATAGTTGGCTTTTATTTTCCCCTATCATCTAATTGATTACTTGACTAATTGTTTCAGCTCTTCAAGTCTTTGCAGTGAAGAGTCTTTATGACAAACTCACATTTATTCTTTGGATTTTTTATGCTGCCTCGGCTGCCACTGGTTATACTGTTTATTCCTACCTTTATAACACAGCTGATTTCTCCCTTAACCATCCCCCAACCTCCACCTGTTATTACAAGACGTGGAGATGGCAGCTCTTCCGCTTGTTGTGCATTATGTACATCACATATCTCATTTATATGTATGTGCGGGGCTCTGTTCTTTTATACCCCTCGGGGAGTTTTAATGTGCTCCCCTTAGAATTTTGAGGCTACTTGGATTCATTTGTAAAGCACCATCAAGCACAAGGCCCCCTTTTCTGCCAAATTCTTTTATTTGTTGCGATAAATCCTTTGATGTAAGTGTCTCTGGCTGAACTAAGTTTATGTGAGCTTTGAGTTCCTTAGTAAATAGAGACAGATCTGTCACAGCATCAAATAAAGCCTACTGGGTTTAGCTGCCAAGCTCTGTAAATATGATGTTGACTGATTCAGAGATAGATGTGAATTTTTGTGATTCATGATAAAGTACAGTTGCCTATTTTCTTTTTAAAAATGAGCTGGTTCTTTGTCAGTGTATCTGTGAGATAGGCCCAGAAGTTAACTTAAATTACCATTTGGTCCAAAGCCCTTGAAGAAGTCTGACAGCATTCAGTGTGTTAATGTTTGAAGATTTGTAAATGTGTAATTTCTGTATTTGTGCTGCATTTTTTTTTACAATTAAATCTGTGCTATAGGGTCGAGAATTTTTATAGATTTATAAATAAATATGACAAAAAATGTAAGATTTATTCAAATTAAATGTTTGTTTCTGATCAAAATAAAGGGATTTATACAGACATTTTTCACATCTCTTAAATGAAGAATAGATGTAAAGAAGGGCGCCCTCTAGTGGGACACAAAACACACTACATCACACACAATTAGCTTGCAGACACCTTATTTTTCCTACTTTTAAAGACACAGTGTTGTATGGTGTATTCTTTGTGTACAGTAGAGCACAAACTGCCAACAACAACATGAAACCTTCTTCATTCAGAGCCTGGAGCAGCAGGTACGTGCCGCTATCGCACAACATCATCCATAACCTACAGCATCTGTCCATTTGCATACATGCTCATCAGCTTTGACAAAGCCAATCTCTGTAACCTGAATCAGTGAAATAACCACTGGCTAGGCCTGAAGGAGACACAATATGGGTCAGTGACCTTTCTCTGAAGGCCCAGGGGTCTTTTTGTCCTGTGTGGAGCCCGAGTGCCGCCACCCCTCCCCCTAATGCCCAGACAGGGGCTAATGGGCACATCAGTCATCTCCAACAGCGGCCCAGTGAACACAAACAGCTCTGTTTACCACCACAACCTTTTGTGTTGACTATGGCCACTGCCCCGTGTCTGAGCCATGGCCCTTCCTGCACCGTCAGCATGAGGGTGGACTCACCACTGGAGCTGGAGATGGGGTTAAGAGTGGGTGTGTGGGGGTCTGAAGGTTATTATCATGTTTTGAGAAGGTCTTGCTTCATTACTCCTCTGTGCTTGGAGATACAGAGTCAAGATAAGATTCATCATGGATCTAATGGGGACAATTTAGGTTGCACTTAAGATGTTTTTGACAAATTACACACTCTGAATCAAGCCGAGCAAACTTGCAGTATCCGTGGGAAAGATAAGGTCACTAAAAAAGGTCACTGCACCAAAGTTTTCTCTTGCTTTCCTCATTTAGACTGCATTTTAACGCCTATTACCTGGATTCTGTTCCCCCTCACTCTACAGAGTGATCCGCCCGCCTTGCTTTTCAGTGCCTGTCTGCTTCAGCTCGCCCAGCATCCAGACTGTGTTGCTCAGTGTCAACAGGAGGAATGCTTTCCTGCACAAATATCTACACCTCATAAATGTCTCGCCCTCTGCTCGACCCTGTCTGGCCTCTGACTGTGAGGGGGTTGAGCAGGGGACAGACAGCCTGGTGTGTGTGTGTGTATTTGGGTCTGTGTGTGTGTGTGTGTAGCAGGAGGGTTGAGGTGAGGTCCTGGGTCTTAACAAGGTGCTGGGAGAAGAGAGCAGGACAAACAGATCATTCAGATGCGGACTGCTTCTTCTTAAAGGGCACTAAAGCCCCGATCATTCGTTTTTGAGAATATCAAATGTGGAGCAGTTACAGCCACTGTAGAATAACCTCAACCCTACTGTATGCAGGAGTAACACCAAATCTTTCAAGCAGTGAGGCAGAAGTGCAGCTTTGGCGTGAAAAACTTCATTAATGTCGACATTTGGAAGATTGAGACTTATAGATGAGAGAAATATGGTTGTGTAGATAAACAGCGTAAATGCAAAATCTGGATGGATCTCATGGTAAACAAGACCCCATCATTTTATTTAGGGATGAATGAGTCTTCGAACAACTTTAAGTGCATGACACCTCCAAAAGCTGAAACTGGGTGCACGTTTACAGCATGCATAATGGAAGGCTTTCAGAGGTGACTTGAATGCTGAACCACCTGCTGTTTGCAAATGCCTACACTTCCTCCCAGGGACTAATGCATACCCCTGAGTTGCATAGACACATATGCCAACACGCTCGCTAACTGTGCTGTGTGTTGCTTGCCGTGGCCCGGATCCAGCCATGCCACCCCTAATCCATTTCTCTGTTGCTCATTATTAGTGGCTTGTAAAGATTCTGTATCAGCTATGCTAAAAGAGCTTTTCACAGTATTACATGGGATTACTGTTGCTCCTCGCTACATATGTTGCTCACAAACTCTGATGTAATATTGCCACCCTGTTTGCATGGTGCTCGCAGAACAACAAATACATGACTCATTACCAGGGTCTTTTTTTTGCTTTTTTGCTTTTTTTTGTTAGTGAGTTAATTTGTGTCACATCATCTTTCATCTAAAAAATTTCCATATCTCTCCTTCTGTTGTGTGATACAGCCGAAGTGTGTCCATGAATGAATGAACGAGGAAGATGAAAAGAAAGGACATGTCTAGTTTAGTGGTCCACTCAGGGGCATTTTTTCCCAAGGAGATTTAATAGTCACAACTATCTCAGATATGTATCTGGCCTAAACTGCTCACTCATAACGTATTAACCCAGCTTGGCAGCAATCACAGAATGCTGTGTAATCAGGGGATGGATGCAGTTTGTAAATGGGTCTCTGAACCCAAAAGATCAAATCTGCCCTAGCCTCAATTTTAAGCACATGACCTTGCTGTAAAAAAAGGCAGAATATGAGTCGAGTTCAGCAGTCAGCTGAGCCCCTCTGGATAAGGCTTGTTGTAACTTGTGGCTCCTAAATCAGCCTCACCACCTACATGAGTCTATGTTTGCAAGACACTATCAAATATGAATGTCTTCCTGTGTCCGAAACGATGCTGTGCCAACAGCCATAGTTGTTCTCTCTCTATCCACAGTACTCTGCTGACCCAACAGCAGGAAAAGTTACAGCCTGTCATAAAAGGGTCAGGCGCCTTCTCATGCTATTCCATTTGTAAGTGCAGGACAGCTGGAAACGCTCTTTATCTCTAATAATAAAGAAGGCCTTTGGCCCTCTTAAGAGGGAGATCAGCTGTGAGCTCAATTCATCAGTAGCTCCCAAAATCTAATCAAATTAAGGCATGTAGATGATAATTAACCAATAGGCTAACATTAAGATTTCACATGTTTGAAACTGGGATTGGTCTCAGGGGTGGCAGGTATGATTCTTGCCTCAACTCTTGTTTCATAAAAATATACAGGTCAGGTATTGTGTGGGAACCTGAGGCTGGAGTAGAGCATTACTGCTCCATTCTTTCACAATTCACCCTCCTTTCTCTCCACACCCTCCTGTGTAGTGCTGTTTGTGCATTCCTGTGTCGACAACCCCTCCGTCTAGTTCTCTGGGGTGTTTACCCCCTTTCACGGTAGCAGGGAAGCAGCTCCCACCATCCCATCTCTGTTTACATTGCTCTTCTCCTCTATTTACTCTGTGCTCCAGCGCCCTGGCGCACCGCGCTCCAAACAGCTGTTCCATTATGGAGAGAGCAGGCGCTTCAACTACACAGTGCTGCCACACAGCTCTCTCTGACAGCCCACCATGGTCGCTACCATGATGACTGCCTGGCTCTGCTGGCACGCCTTCCATTGTTGCCATAAAGCTCAGTCTCCTTCAATGCCAGAGTGGCTTCTGGGCATAGAGTCAGTCGGGGCAACTGTCAGAGATT